ATGGCCAAGGGGTGCTGTGGGGGCACCAGGGACCTGGGCAGGGAGAGGGGTTAGCAGGATGACCACCAGTCTGGTGTCAAGGAGGGAAGACCTCAGCCCATGGGCAGGTAAGGAGGCTGGGGTCTGGGTGGGGCCCTCTGGAGTAGGAGGCTGGACCAAGCCTTGGCCCAGTATAACTTAAGAGGCTGGGGCTGGGGGCTGGGAGAGGGTAGGGAGGCCCATAGAGGGAAAAGAGGGACCCCCATGATCTCTCAGTGGATGGCAGGGGTGGGAACATAAATCTCAAAATCTTGTGCCACCATTCTAGACTCTTGGAATCACAGAACAGCAGACAGTCCAAGCTGGAAGAAACCGGGAGCATCATGCTGTTTGGCCTCCTCAGCTCACGTGCCAGCTTTTCTGAGCCCCTCCTCCATGCTGGGCACTGCTCCGAATACTCCCAGAAGGTGGGTACGGCATGTCTTCATCTTTACATGAGGAAGTTGAGGCTCAGAGAGAGGAAGAGACTTGCCCAAGGTCACACAGCAATTTAGCAGTCACTCAGTGTCAGAGCCCAAGCCCCAACCCCAGGACTTGTGGAGTATGTTCTTGAATGGGAGTGAGCCAGTTGGACCGGCCAGCACAATCTGGGTCTCTTTGGGGCAGGCCCAGAATTTAAGGACAAGCAGAATGCAGCATGGCCAGGGGCCATTAGCCATGCAGTGCCCAGGACTGTCCAGCTGTAATCCATCTCAGCCCGAGGTCATTAGAGATAGCAGCGTGGGGAGGAGGTACCAGTGGTTTAGAAGTTGAGAGAGTGGGTTGGAATTCAGGCTTTCCACTCACTAACTGGGTGATCTTATACAAGCCACTTAAGCAACCTGAGCCTCCACTTTCTCCCCTCTGAAACGTCTCCCCTCTGGGCTTTATGTGGATTTTGTGACGAGTTTCTGGTCTCTGGCCTCTGCCTACCTCTGATTTCCACTTGCAGTTCTGTTGTGTTCTGGTGCTATGCTGGATGCTGGGGTCAAATAAAGGGTCCCTGTATTCAAAAGTCTGCACTTTGCGGGGAGAAGGGGATGGATTGGGAGTGTCTGGAATTCCTGAGGGGCTGCCTTAATTGCTGTAGAACTCTGGGTTGCTGCTCTACCTCTCTGGGTTTCTATCTCCTCCCGAGCTGTCCCTGAAGCAGTCCACCCCCAACTTGCAGGCAAGCTTATGCCAAAGATAAATCAGACAGCGAGGAAAAGTCCCTCCTCCCTGATGTTGAACTAGCTCACACACAGGATTCCCGCTCCTTAAAGAAAAGGCGGCACCAAAATTGCAGGTCTGGCTTATGCATGGAGAAAGCTATAATTTCTCTGCTGCTAAACTTTGACAAGGAAGATGGGCCCAGATGGGGTGCAGGCAGGAAGCCTTGAGAGGGGCGAGGGTCTAGCCAAGCCTGTTCCTGCTGGATTCTGTGTTCATTTGTGTGCAGGGGGTGGGGGTGGGGGGAGTGGGAACTGTCCTTGGAGCTCACCCCTAGGCCTCCCCTGGGGGCATCTGTCCCTGAAGCCTGAAAACAAGGTTTGCCAGCTCACTGCTCCTCTCTGGGGAGCCTGCACTGCCCCTCCCCTTTCAGCCCCGGTTTCCATTGTCCAACCATTGGCGATGCTATAAAAAGGTCTGCACACAAGATGGTCAAAGGTGGATGGATGACGTAGGTCCCTCCTGGCTGAGGAAATCAGGACCCTAAGGCCTGTGACTCCACAGTTTGGGGTTCTAAGGAGGTCTGGTTCCAGCATTCCAGAATCCTAGCAGTCTGTTTCATAGTCTAAACGTTGATGACTGTAAAATTCCACCAGCCTGTTCTAAGAATTTACAATTCTATTCTAGGCCTTGAGGAGTCTAGGGGAGACCCTGGGTGGTGCTCAAGGGAAGGTTGATGGTTCAAGTCTTCCCAGAGGCACCTTGAAAGAAGTGGTGATCTACTTTCAGAAACCCAGCCAGTGAAACCCTACATAGTAACACAATTCTATTTGCACACACATGGGATCGACATGAGTCAGACTTGACTTGATAGCAACAGGTTTAGAAGTCCAGGGGATTGGATCCATGATTCTGATAGCCCAAGAGCCCCTGAGGGTGGACACCTGAACTGCCCTGACCGATGGTGACATTTTGGCCAGTGGCTTCCCCTAGCCCAGCCTCAGTTTGCTGACCGGAGGTGGTAGCGTGTGTTGTGGGGGATGGCTGTGAAAGGGTCACAAGGGTCCTCTCATTTGTGTGACTAGAGCACATGGCCTCACCTGCATTTCCCATCTGCACAGTGGAATTCACAATAGTGCCTCCCTCACAAGACCTGCCACAGTCGAGAGGAGCTGGGTCAGTCACTCTTCCCCCATCTGTCCAGATGGGAACAACAACAACAACAACAACAACACGTCGCTGGAGAGTTGACCCTAACTCAGGTGACCCCCATCTGTGTCAGACTAGAAGCGTGTTCCAGAACTGTTTTTCCAGAAGTCCATCACCAAGCTTTTCTCCCAAGGTGCCCTTCGGTGGACTTGAACCATCAACCTTTCAATTAAGCATAATGTATTTACTATTTGTACCACCCAGGGGTAGCTCTCTAGAGCTGCTAGAACAGAAATACCACAAGTGGATGGCTTTAACAGACAGAAATTTATTCTTTCTCGGTTTGTTGTTGCGAAGTGCCGTCCAGTCAGTTTTGACTCATAATGACCCGGTATAGGGTTTCTTAGGAGAGGCTGGTGACTTTCAACCACCAACTTTGTGGTTCAAACCGACCTTTTGGTCCAGTGCTTTATCCTACAGCTCAGCTTAAGGGCTAGAAATTTGAAATCAGGGTGCGGGTCCTAGGAAAAGGCTTTCTCTCTGTTGCCTCTGGGGGAAGGTTCTTACCTACTTTCAGCATCTGAAATGGACTCAGCATTCCTTGGGGATATCCATCGGCTCTGTGTCAACCTTAACCCAGTCTAAGACACCTCCCTTACTGCTGCTGGTCCAGGCTTAGGAGAGCTAACGAGGGACAGGGTGCCCTGGGTGAGGATAGGGGATAGGTTAGCAGGCTCTCCCAGTCTTGTGGAGCTGTCTCCTCCCCCAGCCCCAGAGCAGAGAGGGTGTGCTGGGGGGAGGAGGGGTATCAGGAGGACCCATCAGCCAAGGTGGCTCACCCACCTCAGGTGTTTTCCTGGACTTGGGGCATCTCCGCTTCTCAGGACTTCTGCTGGGGGACTTTTAGGCTTAGTGTGAACTAAGCAGGAGAAGGGCTTCTCCCCTAGGTTTCCCCTCAGGGTTTTCTGTTCCATAGGTGTCAGATGCTGAGAAACTAGGGAATGGGGAGAATTGGAGAGAGCAGGTAGGGGAGAAGGTTAAAGCCCCAGAGGAGGCTTCAGCTTTTTAGCCCTGACTTCTGATTGCCCATCTGGAGACCAGGGAGTCCTGTTGAAGATGTTGAACAAATTCTTGTGGCCTTTCTCAGTGGGGCTCAGAATTCCACTATTAACAATTCATTCCTTTAGCTTAATCTACTTCAGGTTCCCTTTAGATCCATTTTATACCACAACTGTTTATGCAGAGCTTTGTGTGTGTGAACGTGATGGGGGTGAGGGGGAGGTTCAAAGCCGAGTAAGAGTCTATCATCAATAGAGTCAGGAAGAGTCCCAGTCACCTTTAATACATGGAGGGGAGGCTTAAAGGGGATGGAGGTATGATAAGAAAGAACATAAACAGGGATGCTGGGTCCCACTGTGTCCCGTCCCTAGGGTAACCTCTCACATAGGCTTCAAGACCCACCTGAATTGTCCTCTTCCCTGGGAAACCCTCTCCTCCAGCCCAGGTTGTTGTTGTTAAGTGCTGTTGAGTTGTTCTAACTCACAGTGAACCTGTATAGGGTTTCCAAGGCTTTATATCTTTGCATGAGCAGAAAGCCTCATCTTTCTCCTGCAGAGCAGTTGATAGACTTGAACTGCAGACCTTGTGGTTCACAGTCCAGTGCTTATAGTATGGGGAGTTAACTATTCTTGTGCTTGCCCACATAACAGCATCTGTCATGTGTATTCCAAACCCCTCCATTACAAGTCGACCTCTGGGGAAAAGGAGAGTCAAGTTCCTGCCCTTTAGGTTCCTAGACACCTGTCCCAGGGAAGGGGGACAAAGACATGGTTTGGAACGATGCAGTTTCCAAAGACTCTGTCTCCCAGGAGAAGAACATCTAACCTGCGCATCTTAACTCCATTCAGAACTAGGAATCTCACAAAAGCTGTGATCTCAGCCCAGAAAAGACACTAACACATAAACTTTCAGCTACAGTGTCGGGGTTCATGGAATCTCTGAAGTTCATCTAGGGATTCAAGTTCAAAGTTAAGGACCTGTGATGTGAAGCAGTGATCTTCAAATTCAAGGGTGAGACCCATTGATGGGCCATTATACACAGAAAGATTGAGTATTGCTTTTGGAAACAATATTAGTTTGGTTACAATGTCAAATGCACTTCTTACTGTGCATTGGGGTCAAAAGCATTTTTTAAAAAACTCTGGACTAACAGGAGACAAATGTTGCCATTGGCTGATTGTCGGATCTGCCCTCTCCTTTATTTAATGTGTGTGGAACATTTATTGTGTGCGCTGACAAAGGGACACAATAGTGGACAGGCCAGCTCTGTCTCCTGTCCTTTGGAACCAGTAAGCTCACTTCCATTCCACACTCTCTACCTGTGTGTGGTAGAGGGTCAATCACCTCATGTCTCTGAGACTCAGGTTCTCGGCTTGTATACAGAAAGACTGAGTATTGCTTTTGGAAACAATATGACTTCATTTGGTTACAGTCTCAGATAAAGTTCCTGCCATACATTGGGGTCAAAAAGGTTTGCAAACCCTGGTGTAGAGAGAAGGGCTGGGCTGAGGGATGGGGTGGTGCACTCAGTAGGATTCCAAGTTCAATGTCATGGGGGACGGGCAGCAGAAAGGTCCCACCCTTTGCCGTCACCATCTGTGTCTCCCTCTTCTAGACCAGTAGCTGACTGCTGACTGCCCTCCCCTCGGCCATGGACACACCTGTTTACTCTCCACCAGCACTCACCACCTCAGAACCTGGGAACACGTCTTCCACCTGGCCCCTGGATGCCGCCCTGGGAAATAGATCAGGGGGCCCAAGCCCAACAGGACTGGCCATCAGCGGCATTCTGATCCCCCTGGTCTACTTGGTGGTGTGTGTGGTGGGTCTTCTGGGCAACTCGCTGGTCATCTATGTGGTCCTGAGGCACACGGCCAGCCCGTCAGTCACCAACGTCTACATTCTGAACCTGGCACTGGCTGATGAACTCTTCATGCTGGGGCTGCCCTTCCTGGCAGCCCAGAATGCCCTGTCTTACTGGCCCTTTGGCTCCCTCATGTGCCGTCTGGTCATGGCTGTGGACGGCATCAACCAGTTCACCAGCATCTTCTGCCTCACCGTCATGAGTGTCGACCGCTACCTAGCGGTGGTGCACCCGACGCGCTCGGCCCGCTGGCGCACAGCGCCCGTGGCCCGCACAGTGAGCGTGGCCGTCTGGGTGGCCTCAGCCGTGGTGGTACTGCCCGTGGTGGTCTTCTCGGGCGTGCCCCGCGGCATGAGCACCTGCCACATGCAGTGGCCCGAGCCGGCAGCGGCCTGGCGGGCAGGCTTCATCATCTATACAGCCGCCTTGGGCTTCTTTGGGCCACTGCTGGTCATCTGCCTCTGCTATCTGCTGATTGTGGTGAAGGTGCGCTCTGCCGGGCGGCGGGTGCGGGCGCCCTCGTGCCAGCGGCGGCGGCACTCTGAGCGCAGGGTCACGCGCATGGTGGTGGCTGTGGTGGCACTTTTTGTCCTTTGCTGGATGCCCTTCTATGTGCTCAACATCGTCAACGTGGTGTGCCCGCTGCCGGAGGAGCCCGCCTTCTTCGGTCTCTACTTCCTGGTGGTGGCACTGCCCTATGCCAACAGCTGTGCCAACCCCATCCTGTATGGCTTCCTCTCCTACCGCTTCAAGCAGGGCTTCCGCAGGGTCCTGCTGCGGCCTTCGCGCCGCGTGCGCAGCCAGGAGCCAGAGGCAGGGCCTCCGGAGAAGACGGAGGAGGACGAGGAGGAGGAGGAAGAGGAGGGTGAGGAGGGTGGGGAGAAGAAGCAAGGGGAGGTGAAGGAGGTGAATGGCCGGGTCAGCCAGATCACCCAGCCTGGCCCAAGCGGGCAGGAGCTGCCACCCAGTGGCCCTGCGATTAAAGAACAACAGTTCCTGCCCCAGGAGCCCTCTAATGAAGAGAGGTCCAGCGCCATGCACATCAGTTACCTGTAGGTTCCGGAGAACTGGGGCACCGAGGAAGTGCAGAGGCCCACAGCAACAAGTTCTGAGGTCTGGGTTCTGACCCCCATGTAACTGAGGGCTTGCTGTGTGATTTGGAGAGGTTGCTTCCCCTCTCTGGACCTAGCTTTCTCTCTGTGACTCGGGGCTGATGAGATGTGACAGGTGACAAGTATGGAATGGCCTCTCTGCTGGGCTGACCTTCTGAGTAGGTCCCAGGTGATGAGCACAGTATAGCTTCACCTCCCCCAACTCTCTCTGGGGAATAACTCTCAGAGGGATAGAGCAAAGTCTGGGTTTCCTATGCTCCAAGTCTGGGACATGGGAGATGCTGGGGCTGGACTGGAGCCTCATGGGAGGAAATCTTACTTGGTGGGGAGGAGGGGGTGGAACCCTCAGGCTCACCCAGAACACTTCTGCCCTCTCAACCTCCAAGCCTCACTGCTGGACAACTCGGTCATCTCAGGTCCTTTAGATCCTGGTGGTCAGCGTGGGCACTCTGGTACACCTGGACATGGTGATCAGAGGGGCTCTCTCGAGGAAGCTGGTTGAGCTGAGCTGCGGGGGCATCTCATTGCGCGAGTCCTCAATATTGCACTTGTCATTTTGTATTCCTTTTGTTAAAAGAGGACCCCAAATTGTATAAGCTTAGGCCACTCAGAGAGAGCCCAGCTCAGCCCTGGTGGGAGCAGCTGCCCCATCCCCAGAGCAGCTCACTTGGAATCCTGAAGCTGGGACCGTGTGCCTCTAGATCTTTGAGGGTTCCAGGTGTTTCCTCCTAGGAGGGGCCAGCCCTGTTTCCCAAGCTGCAATCTGCTGCTCCTCACAGAGAACCAAGGCAGGAACCCACCTACGCAGGCTGGCTGGAGATAGTGTCTAAACAGCACTGTGAGGAAGAGGAGGAGGAGGAGGGAGGACTGGGGAGAGAGTTCCGTTCTGTGACCTTGGAACCCACCTTGGTCCTGAGGGGTTGCAGCATCTGTAGAATGGAGCCAGTCTCAGACAAAGGATGCCACCAAGAGTGGCAAAGCAGCTGCTCTGAAGCACACAGGTCTGCCTGTCCCTTGAGGGGTCCCTCAGCGCTGGTATGAAGGCCTGGTCTTGACCAGAGGTCCTGAGGACAGAGCCAAGCAGCAGATCCCAAGGTTGTGGGCAGCAAGAGCTTCCTGTGAATGGGGAAATGAATCTTCTTTACGTTCTGGAGGTCAGGGAACATGGGGAGGTCACTGTCCATGGCTGGGCCTGGACTGGCCTGACTCCCTCCCCTTAAAGCCACAGGGAGGCTGGCCCTAGGAGGGTGGCACTTCTGGCTAAACTATCCCCCCACCCTAGCAGAGGCAGGGGGTCCTCAGGGAAAGCATGTGAACCAGAAACCAGAAGACCCAGACTTCAACCCACCTCATGATTTTGGCCAGCCTCAGCCTCTAGGACTTCAGTTCCCCCATCAGAATGTGGAGGTGGCTGTTCCAGTTGACCTGTATGCCCAGATCTGGGGAGGAAAATGGATTGAGTCATGCTGGGAAGACTGCCAAGCTCATTGCAATGGGGCAGGGATGGGCGGGGCTAAGTGATAAAGGGGAAGGTGACCCCTAGGTTTGGCCTATACCCCCTTTCTTTCTCTTCTTTACTCTCTGCCCCCTGGCCCCCAAGGATAAGGATGCTGCAGATCTTGAACACCAGGAAGCCAGGGGCAGAGGCTGGGCAACAGGAAGGCAGGGTTGGGGAGCAGAGAGTCTGGCCCCACAGAGGGTATGGAAGCCCTGGGGCTAGGTCTGGGGGTCGTCTGAAGAGGAACTAGGTGGAGACGGCATTCTGGGAAACCCTACATCTGGGGCCGGTGAACACTGTTCTGCAAGAAGGACGGAAAATTTTTTGCTGCTTCTGCCAAGTCTTGTTAATAAAGATGGCAGCACATGACAATGCAAAGTTCCTGGGTCCTCTGTCTGTAGGAGGCTGTGTGTTTGACTGGGAGTGGACATGCAGGTGTGTGTAGTGGCCCCCAGGTCTAACAGGGGCTCTCCCTTATCCATCTCTCAGCTCTGGCCTCAGCCCACAACATTACAGAGCTCCATCCAAAAGCAATAGTTTTCTCTCCTTCTGTCCAAATAGCAAATCTCATGGAACAAAGCTGATTGGCCCTGTGAGTGCCCCTTGGCCTAGTACCAAAGGGATAGGGTGCTATGATTGGCCAGGTATGACTTTAGCCTTCCAGTAAGGGGGAAGTGGACATGGTGATGGACAGACTGTCCTGACCAATGGGTATAGGGAAGGGAAGGGCAGACTACCAGTGTTGTGTGCACAGTTTACTGTGTGTGGCTACTTTTGCTGCGTGTGATTGTGGATATGAAGATTTGTGTGAGTAGGGTGCAGGGTGCATAGTAGGTGCTCAGACAGTTCAACAGGGTCCAGGAGTGAACGTGTATTGGGTATGTTAGCATTGAGGCCAGCCATGGGGATGGCAGGGTGCACAGGGGGACGTTGTGTGGAAATGGCCACCGGGAGTCCCTGCAGCACTCAGGTTTTCCCGCCATACTGCTAGAACTGCCCATGTACTCTCAAGTGTGTGTTGTCCACCAGCCTTGTCCCTCACAGGGCAAGGATGGTACCCAACCAAGCCTCTGTGTTCCCAGGGGCTGCCAGCGTTCTGGGCCCTTCCTATGAGCATTTTGAATGCATGACTCCAGGGACGTGGGTCACCTGGTGACTCCAGCACTTTGTATGTGTCAGACTTTGGATGAAGCTGTAGAGCTGGACTAGCTCATTTAATTCATATAATTATTTTCAGTTTACAGGCTGGAAACGGGGGCACAAAGAGGTTAAGTAACTTGCTCAGGGCTACATGTAAGAGTCTTTTTGGGACTGTGCAGTGTGGGCCTTGACTAAACAAGCAGTACTGGGGGGTGGGGTGTTGAAGCAGGAGACAGAGGAGCTTGCATGGAGCTCGAGGCTGGAATCTGTGGGTTATGTGGTCCGCAGGGCTGCAGAGTGAGCCAGAGCAGGGAAAGCGATGGTGTCAGCTCCCCACTGCTGACTCCCCCTCAGCTCAGATCCAAGCCCTTACCTTGAACTTGTCTCTCTGAGGCAGTTGCCAGGCAACAGCCCATGGTCACCGGCTCAGGACCAGGACTTAATGTATCAGCATCAGCAGAGAAGAACTAGGAGTTAATAGGGCTTTGGCTCCATCCTCAACTGAAAGGGAAGACATTGTCCCACAAAGAAGTGACAGCTTGGGCTCCATGAGACCCCCCCACCCGACATAAAAGAAAGTGCTATGAAGGAGTCAAGAGCCCCTGGCTGTGATGTGAGAGCGCCCCCTGCAGTTGCCTTAGGCCACAGTCCTGCACAGGCCTTTGGGTGCATCCCTGCCATTAGCAGACCCTGGTGAGAATCTCACTGAGTGATCCAAAAGGTTGTGGGGGAAATACCTTCCCTAAAAGTCATGGGCCCCAAAGTCAGAAGGCCTGAGCCCTAGACGCTCTGTCAGGAAGCTGCTATGTGGCCTTGTATCATTTACTTCACCTCTATGGGCTGAATTGATTTAGATGACAAATGTTCTTTGTTAGCTCTGCCTGTATACTTGGCCCTGGCATGGCACTGGGTACCATGGAGGCAAACAGGCACAGTTCCTGGGTAATCGCATGCCCGAGCAGTTGAAGGAGCGAATGTTTCATCACCCACTGAGCTGGATTGAGGGAGAACTAGTGTGCTCTGGGAGAAAATCATGGGAGTGTTTGGGGATAGCCCTTATTGTTGTTGTTAGGTGCCATAGAGTTGGTACCGACTCATAGGGAACCTCTGCACAACAGAACAAAACACTGCCCAATCCTGGGCCAACCTCACAATTGCCACTCCTGAGCCTACTGATGCTGCCACTTTGCCAATCCATCTTGCTGGGGGTCTCCCTCTTTATCTCTGACCCTCCACCTTACCAAACATGATGTCCTTGTCCAGTGACTGTGCCCTCCTGACAATATGTCCAAAGTATGAGAGACAAAGTCTGGCCATCTTGGCCTCCAAGGAGCACTCTGGCTGCACTTCTTCCAACATAGATCTGTTGGT